CTCCCTCTCCCTCTCCCGTCCTTCCCCTCCCCCGTCTCCCTCTCCCTCTCCCGTCCTTCCCCTCTCCCGTCTCCCTCTCTTTCAATCCTCCTCTGTCTCTGTATCTCAACCATCCCCCTCACCTCATCTCTCGCTTCACCCTCCTAACCTCACCCCGCCCCTCTGAAACGTATTCACTCTTTCAGAGGGGGACCAACACGGTTTCTCCAGGAAAAGGCTTCCGAGAAGGGTCTGGGGAAAAGAGAAAGGCTTTATTTCAGAAAGTTGCTGACCTCAGGGAGCTTGGATCGGTCGGTGGAGTGACTAAAATCGGGGAACGCTCTCAAGGCTGGATATGGAAGAGCACCGAGATCTCACAGACAGGGAAGGCAGTGAGGTAGGAGGAGGTCACAGAGATGGGGAGGCATGTGGCTGCAGAGATAGGGAGGGGTGTGGGGGAAGTTGAAGGTTGCAGAGAAAGGGAGCGGTGTGGGGGAAGTTGAAGGTTGCAGAGATAGGGAGCGGTGTGGGGGAAGTTGAAGGTTGCAGAGATAGGGAGCGGTGTGGGGAAGTTGAAGGTTGCAGAGATAGGGAGCGGTGTTGCACTGCTGGTGGTTTCTTTATAAATGACTTCATGGATATGAGCATCAATGGTTAGGCCAGTTTCTATTGTCCACAGTCAACGACAGAGTGTGTCTGGAATCCCTGATAGGCCAGACTAGGGAAGGATGGCAGATTTCCTTCCCCAGAGGATATTAATGAACCGGATAGTGTTTTTTTTTTAACGACAATCTTTAGTATTAAGCTCACATTTAGTTCCATGTTTTATTCAATTCAAATTTCGCCAGGTGCCAGAACAGGATTCGAACCCACGCACCCCAGAACATTACCCTGGACATCTGGATTACTGGTTGAGTGACGTTATCATTATGTCATAAGATAAGGAGCAATGCAAGTCTGGAAGAGGTGCAGACAAGGGAGGGTTTGGGCCTGGAGGAGGTTATGTACACTGCTGTGTCTGAAGGAATGCGTGAACAGATGAGGTAGGAGTAGAAGCAGGCACTAGAAGTAGGGGAGGCAATGGCCTAGTGGTATTATCACTGGACTGTTAATCTGGAGAGCCAGGTGATGGCGTGGGGACCTGGGTTCAAATTCCACCACGGCAGTTGATGGTATTGGAATTCAATAAAAATCCGGAATTAAGAGACTAATGGGGACCACTGCTGGTTATCGGGGGGGGGCGGGGGAAACCCATTTGGTTCACTCACGTCCTTTGGGGAAGTAAACCACTGTCCTTACCTGGTCTAGCCTAAATGTGCCTCCAGACCTGCAGCAATTTCCATGAATCAATAAATAGAAAGTAGGCCACTCGGCCCTTCAAGACTGTTCTGTCATTTAAGCTGATCTCACTGTAACTTCAAATCAACATTCTCACCTCTTACTTCCTTGCTTGCCAAGAGTATATCTACCTCCCCCATTGTGGCTGCACTGGCTCTTCAAACGAATGTCATTACCGACTGCCAATCTCCTGTTTTTACCCCATATGCCTGAACACTATTTTGATCCAAATAATCGTCCAATGCCTCCTGAATGTCTCAGTTGGGCTTGCCCCACCACACTGGAGTGCAATGCACTCCAGACCCAAACTACTTGCTGAGTGACAAAAGAAAAATTTCTCCTATTAATCTTGCGTGTGTTGTAAATCTATAGCCCTGCTGTTCTTCTCCAAGCAGAGTAGCTTCTCCCTATCTGCTGTATCCATCCCGCATCTGATTTTGAAAACCTCTATCAGCAGCCTTTTCTCTGAGGAGAACAGTCTCAACTTCTTCAACTGATCCTCGGTCGCTGAGATTTCTCCAACCCTGGAACCACTTCTGTATTCAGTTCAATGCCTTCACATCCTTCTTATAATGTGGCACCATCAGGGAAAGAATTTCCCATCTGCGCCTCAAAATAGTGACCACTGGTTCTACTTTCTTCCCCCAAGAGGAAACATCTGTTTCACATCTACCCCGCCAACAAACCCTCAGGATCAAAAATGTCTCAATTGAGTTGCCTTTTCCTCTGCTAGACTCCAGTGGGTAGGAGTCCAGCCTCTCCTCGTAAGATAACTTGGCCATTCCATGAATTAGTCTTATAAAACGTTTCTTAAATGTTGACATCAATACTGTACATACCACCCCCAGATGTGAAATTACTAATGCCCTGTACAAATGAAGCAGAATCTCCCTTGCGTTCTCAATTCCCCTCACAATAAGCACTAACTATCCATTACCTCTCCTCATTACTTGCTGTACCTGCGTACTAACCTTTTACAATTCATGCACTAGGTCACCCAGATTCTTCTGCATCTCACAGAATTCCCACGGTGCAGAAAGAGGCCATTCAGCCCGTCGAGTCCACATGAACCCTCCGAACAGCATCCCACCCAGATCTACCCTATCTCTGAAACCCTTCATTTCTCATGGCTAATCCACCTAGCCTGCACACCATGGGCAATCCACCTAACCTGCACATCTTTTGGATTGTAGGAGAAAACCAGAGCACCTGGAGGAAACCCACACAGATACGGGGAGAATGTGCAAACTCCACACAGAGGATGGAATCGAACCTGGGTTCCTGGCACTGTGAGGCAGCAGTGCTATCATCAAATACTTTTTTTTAAATGAAAACTTTCCTGTCAAAGATGACAATTTCACATTGTTCCACATTATATTTGCCAGATCTTTGCCCACTCACATAATGTCTCAATATCCCTTTTGTAGCCTCCTTATGTCTTCTCCATAACTTACATTCCTACCTATGTTTATGTCATCAACAAATTTAGGTACTATACCTTCCATCCCTTCATCCAAATCATTGATATACATTTAAAAAGGTTTGAGGCCTCAGCACCATTCCTTGTGGCACACCACTCGTTATCCCATTCCTCCCCATAAACAACCATCATCTACAAACAGAAATAAAATTGCGAGACTTATGTCAGCTTGCACTCACACATCACCTACCTGTGTCCACAAACTTCCTCAGATTTTTCCACACTTTATATTCTGTGGGTCCTGCAAACTTTCCAAATGGCACCTTGTGCATTATCAGGACTGGGGTGGGCAGAGTGTGGGCCAGTCTGTAAGACATGTCAGCAAATGGGTTAATGTTGTGAAGGATCAGACCAGACCCCTCAAAATTTTGAAGATGGTCTAGACCCTAACTTTTTCCTATTTTTAAAGGTAAATGTAAGGTGTTGCATTCTGGGTGTAATTCGATTGGTCAAACTACTGGATTTAAAACACTTATCATTAAAATACAGCAAAAGAAAGAAAGAATTGGAATAACTTAACTCTATTGGGAAATCTTAACAGAATAATAGACACAGTAACTATTGCTAATTAACTGTTCAGATATAGTAACATCCCATTAACACACCCTTGGCAAAAGGCACATTCAGAACAGATTGTCTCACATGCAACTCCCAAAGGAGGAAGAGAACCCCCAACTTTTGGCTGCAATCAAGGGAGAAGGAAAACAAATAGTTTAAGACTCCCAACAGCGACTGCTGAAAGCTAAACCTAAAATCCCTTGTGGTGTGGGAGCTCGACCACACCCATTCAGGCGGCTTCTATTGTTCCAACTTTTAAAAAAAGAGAGCCCACGGCCTCATAAGCTGTTTACTTTCTTACAGACTGCTCGTTGCCTCTCATTCAATCTCTCTCTTAAAAGTAACTGTGACAAAAACCCATCATCACCACCAAGGTTACAAAGTAGTCTATGCAGTTCCACAAGCCTGCTCTGCTGTTAGCTGAGAGACTTGGCAGAATGAGGCTATTTACCCATCACCATGCCTCAGAATTAAGGGACGCCAATTTAAGACTAAGATGAGGAGGAATTTCTTCTCTCAGAGGGTTGAATGGCTCTGGTACTCCTTGCCTCAGAGAGCTGTGTGCGCAGAGTCCTTATGTATATTTAAGGTTGAGATAGATAGCTTCTTGATCAGTTGGGGAATCAAGTTTTTTTTTTAACTCATTGATGGAATGAGGATGTTGCTGTCTAGGTCAGCAGTTATTTCCCATCCCAGAGGGCAGTTATGAGTCAGCAACAATGCTGTGGGTCTGCAGTCACATGTAATCCAGACCAGGTAAGGACGGCAGTTTCCTTCCCCTAAAGGGCATCAGTGAACCAGATGCGGTTTCTCCCCCAACAATTGGCAATGGATTCGTGGACATCATCAGACTCATAATTCCAGATTTTTACTGAATTCAAATTCCACCACCTTCTGTGGCGGGATTCGAACCCAAGTCCCCAGAACGTTACCTGGGTCTGTGAATTAACAGTCGAGCGATAATACTGCTAGGCCATTGCCTCACCACTTATGAGGAAAGTGGACTTGAACAGTGTTGAATCAGCCATGATCCTATTGAATAGCAGAGCAGACTTGAGGGGCTGAAAGGCCTACTCCTGCTGCTATTTCTCATGGTCGGAGTTCATGCTGGCTCCCTGAGCAATCAGAGTGATCCTGCCTTTGCCTAATTTATCCAACTCCACCTGATTTGTGACCTTGGTCTTACTTCTCTCCATTGATGCCCAAACCCAACGCGGGCATGTCCCCCTTCCGAGCCTGTTCAGTGTCGTGTTTTTACTGCAGCTGCAGGCTAGCAAAACATTGCCCGCTCCTGCATGTCACCAGGCTGTTCGTACGCTACTCCCACACTCTTAGATGTGAAAGAGCCTGTCTTCTGACAGACAGCCCAGAAACTCTAACTTATCTGTCGCAGCTTATCTCCTCTCCATTTCAGCCCCACTTCAGCAGTGGGTCTCCTTCCCTCAGCAACTCACTGAGGTTTCGCCAGCGCCCCCTCCCCCACCCAGAAGGAGAAGGCTTGCAGGTTGACAGGCCAAAGGCTTCGCAAGATTCCCAAAGTAGGCCTGTTAAAATGGCCCTTTAAGGGGCCAGCTCTTCCATTACCCTTTCAAGATCATAAACTTCATTGCAGCAAACAGCATCACCTCATGCCACCTTCTGGTTCCATTGCCAAAGCTGATGACTTCTAATGGTCAACGATTCTGCCAATGGAACCTGATTTTCCTTATTCCCTCCCACATATAGTCATAGAGATGTACAGCACAGAAACAGGCCCTTCGGTCCAACTCGTCTGTGCTGCCCAGATATCCTGAATTAATCTAGTCCCATTTGCCAGCATGTGGCCCTTTTCCCTCTAAACCCTCCCCATTCATTACTCATCCAAATGCCTTTTAAATGTTGTCATTGTACCAGCCTCCACCACAACTTCTGACAGCTCATTCCATACACCCTCTGCGTGAAATAGTTGCCCCTTAGGTCCTTTTTAAACCTTTTCCCTCCCACCTTAAACCTATGCCCTGTAGTTTTGGACTCCCCCCACCCAAGGGAAAAGGCCTTGTCTGTTTACCCTATCCATGCCCCTTATGATTTTATAAACCTCTATAAGGTCACCCCCTCAGCCTCTGACTCTCCCGGAAAGGAGTCCCAGCCTATTCAGCCTCTCCCCTTTAGCTCAAATGCTCCAACCCTGGCAACATCTTTGTAAATCTTTTCTGAACCCTTTCAAGTTTCACAACATCCTTCCTATAGCAGGGAGACCAGAATTGAATGCAGTGCTCCAGAAGCAGCCCTAACCAATGTCCTGTACTGCCGCAATATGACCTCCCAACTCCAATACTCAAGGCACTGACCAATAAAGGTATGCATACCAAATGCCTTCTTCATTACCCTGTCCACCTGCGACTCTGCTTTCAAGGAACTACGAACCGGCACCTCAAGGTCTCTTTGATCGTCAACACTCCCCAGGATCTTACCATTAAGTCTGTAAGTCCTGCCCTGACTTGCCCTACCTAACCACAGACACTTTGTGATTTGACTCCCTCTGCACTGAGGATTCTCCAGTCCCTGCACGCGACCCAAAGTCCATCAGCCTCTCTGCTCTCCATTCTCTGAAGTTCCCTCTGCAGCTTCTCCTAAAGTTTGATGCTCAGATTTGGTCCCATCCTGCAGACGTTTGGGGCCCAATCAATAGGGTTTTGAGTAACCTCTTTGGTTCTGAGATAACAAGGTGTAGAGCTGGATGAACACAGCAGGCCAAGCAGCATCAGAGGAGCAAGAAAGCT